TATGCCCACAACAGTGTTGAAAATAATGCAAATGTGAAAATAATGTATAACTGGTTCCCGCTACATTCCCAACTGCATGTTAAACTCACAGCACATGCAGAGATGAAGTTTACTGCATTAATTCACTGAGAATTGAACCGTTCTGAGATGTGAAAAAACAAAACAAAAAGTATTTTGCAATTTAATAAGGGTTTTGCACTTTCGATTTTAGTTCGATGATACACTGTCGATATCAAAAACACATCTGGGTATTGTTTTATGGTGTGTATTTCTAGACACCTTTAACCTTATTTTGATTATTCTCAGGTTAGGTAAAGTCAAATCTGTCCTAAATCATAAGCATCTGAATTTTCTTCCTCACAATCCACAGGTCAGAAGACTTCTTAATAGTCTGTTCAGCTCACTTTTGTAGAAATCAAAGACTTTTGGCAAGCGAGCTTCTTAATTTCAATTAAATATAGTTTTATTATTTACAGGTTAACTAGTTTACATATAAAGTACTAATATATATATATAAAAAAACAAGACAAAACAACATCGATAGTAAATCGTTTACAAGCATTGTCTCTCAGAGGCTTCAATGGCATGGCATCTAACAGCGGAGAGGCCATTCCTGAGAATCAGCCTCTGCCTTCATCTTCTCCTTTAAGCCTTTTATAGACCATCTGAATTCTTGAGGTCGTCATCTTTGGAAATCCCCTCATAATTTATCCAATCTGAAGTCTTGAACTGTCATAAGTTCTGGACATCCTGTCACGGTACGGTTACCAAAAGTGAAGGAGAGGACTCAAGTGCAGCATAAGGGGTATATTTATTAACAAAACACAAAACAAAAACCCACGAGCGGGAAAACATAAAAGATAAAGCATAAAACAGAACCAAACTAGAAAACCAACCTGACAAGGAACAACATGAGCATGACAAGGAAAACATAAAGCAAAGATCCGACAAAGACTGCATACAAGGGGAGACTTATAAAGGGAACAAATCAAGAGGGAAACAGGTGGTTGAACTCAAACAATAATCAGGTAACGAGGGGGAGGGATCAGACAATGACATGAGCACATGGCCCAACATAACAAACACCCAAGTGTCACACAGGACAGGACAGACACGTGACACTACCCCCTCCCTACGAAGCGGCTACCAGACGCTCCATCCGGTGGCACGGGAGGGACACACCAGGGGGGCACGGGAGAGACAGGAACATAGGGCGGCCAGGGCGGTGAAGAGCCCTCGGGCGGCCAGGGCGGTGAAGAGCCCTCGGGCGGCCAGGGCGGTGAAGAGCCCTCGGGCGGCCAGGGCGGAGACGGCCCATCGGGCGGCCAGGGCGGTGGAACAGGAGCAACCACCGGCTCAGGAACTGCAGCAGGCACCGGCTCAAGAACTGCAGCAGGCACCGGCTCAGGAACCGCAGCAGGCACCGGCTCAGGAACCGCAGCAGGCACCGGCTCAGGAACCGCAGCAGGCACCGGCTCAGGAACCGCAGCAGGCACCGGCTCAGGAACCGCAGCAGGCACCGGCTCAGGAACCGCAGCAGGCACCGGCTCAGGAACCGCAGCAGGCACCGGCTCAGGAACCGCAGCAGGCACCGGCTCAGGAACCGCAGCAGGCACCGGCTCAGGAACCGCAGCAGGCACCGGCTCAGGAACCGCAGCAGGCACCGGCTCAGGAACCGCAGCAGGCACCGGCTCAGGAACCGCAGCAGGCACCGGCTCAGGAACCGCAGCAGGCACCGGCTCGGGAGCAGCAGCAGGTACCGGCTCGGGAACCGCAGCAGGCACCGGCTCGGGAGCAGCAGCAGGCACCGGCTCGGGAGCAGCAGCAGGCACCGGCTCGGGAGCAGCAGCAGGCACCGGCTCGGGAGCAGCAGCAGGCACCGGCTCGGGAGCAGCAGCAGGCACCGGCTCGGGAGCAGCAGCAGGCACCGGCTCGGGAGCAGCAGCAGGCACCGGCTCGGGAGCAGCAGCAGACACCGGCTCGGGAACAGACACCGGCTCGGGAACAGACACCGGCTCGGGAACAGACACCGGCTCGGGAACAGACACTAGAACAAACATAGTCGCAAAGACAGACACAAACACAGACACAAAAACTGGGTCAGGCTCAGGAACAGGCACTGGCTCTGCCTCCGGCTCTGGAACGAGCACCGGCTCCGCCTCCGGCTCAGGAACGGGCACCGGCTCAGGAACGGGCACCGGCTCCGGCTCCGGCTCAGGAACGGGCACTGACTGTTCCACTGGCTCAGCCTCCGGCTCGGAAACGGGCACTGGCTTTGCCTCCGGGTCAGAACCCGCAGACACTGGCTCTGCCTCCGGGTCAGAACCCGCAGACACTGGCTCTGCCTCCGGCTCAGGAACGGCTGAGACTGGCATATCCAATATCCGAGCCAGACGCTCCAGGTAGTCCCCGTTCAGGAAGGCAGAGGAAACAGGGACAGTCTCTCGCTGTGCAGACGGGACGGGGACAGTCTCTCGCTGGGCAGACGGGACGTGAACAGTCTCTCGCTGGGCAGACGGGACGGGAACAGTCTCTCGCTGGGCAGACGGGACGGGAACGGTCTCTCGCTGGGCAGACGGGACGGGAACAGTCTCTCGCTGGGCAGACGGGACGGGAACGGTCTCTCGCTGGGCAGACGGGACGGGAACAGTCTCTCGCTGGGCAGACGGGACGGGAACAGTCTCTCGCTGGGCAGACGGGACGGGAACAGTCTCTCGCTGGGCAGACGGGACGTGAACGGTCTCTCGCTGGGCAGACGGGACGTGAACAGTCTCTCGCTGGGCAGACGGAACGGGAACAGTCACTCGCTGGGCAGACGGGACGTGAACAGTCTCTCGCTGGGCAGACGGGCCTTTCCTCCTTCTCCGTCCGCGACGGCGAGAAGCAGGTCTCGAATTGTCCCCATGGACCGATGAAAATTTGGTTGAGCAAAACGTAGCGATGAAGTAGTCCGGGCAATCCAAATACTCGTCATCCATGTGATGATCAACCAGATTCGCCCAGTAAGACTCCTCGTCCTCCATGCTGCTGAGTCCCTTAGTGGTCGGATCTTTCTGTCACTATACGGTTACCAAAAGTGAAGGAGAGGACGCAAGTGCAGCATAAGGGGTATATTTATTAACAAAACACAAAACAAAAACCCACGAGCGGTAAAACATAAAAGATAAAGCATAAAACAGAACCAAACTAGAAAACCAACCTGACAAGGAACAACATGAGCATGACAAGGAAAACCGGGGAAACATAAAGCAAAGATCCGACAAAGACTGCATACAAGGGGAGACTTATAAAGGGAACAAATCAAGAGGGAAACAGGTGGTTGAACTCAAACAATAATCAGGTAACGAGGGGGAGGGATCAGACAATGACATGAGCACATGGCCCAACATAACAAACACCCAAGTGTCACACAGGACAGGACAGACACGTGACACATCCCCTTAAAGGGATAGTTCACTTTGAAATTAATTTTTAGTATGTTTTAGCTTACCTCAAGGGCATCCAAGATGTAGGTGTCTTTGTTTCCGCAGTAGTTTCAATTTTGATATTTTTAGGTCAAACCGTTCTTGTCTGTCAGTCATAATGCAGGTCTATGGTCACCACCTCAAAGAGCATGCACAGAGAAGTCCAAATTAAACATGATTTAATGACTCGTAAATGTAAGTACACATTGATGGCCTAAGACACGAAACGAGCGGTTTGTGTGAGAAAACGAACAGTATTTACTATTTATATTGTTTTTACCTCTCGAAACACAGCCACGTCCAAGTGATCTGAGGGCACGGGCGCTTCGGTCTGCGCAAGCGCCTGCAAGCGCCGTCTCGCGCGGTTGCGAAAAAAATTCAACGTTGTCTGTTGATATATCGAAATCGTCTTCCATTGCGCTTTCCTGTATATCTAAATATGTTTAGACCTTCACAGTGAAAGGTAACACTTCCGAAATCTCTGTGTAAACAATGAGTGACGTACACGCGGGAGAGATCACTTCCGGCGATTTCCGGCGCTTGCGCAGACCGAAGCGCCGGCGCCCTCAGATCACTTGGACGTTGCTGTGGTTACAAGAGGTAAAAACGATATAAATACTGTTCGTTTTCTCACACAAACCGCTCGTTTCGTGTCTTGGGCCATCAATGTGTACTTACATTTACGAGTCATTAAATCATGTTTAATTTGGACTTCTCTGTGCATGCTCTTTGAGGCGGTGACCATAGACCTGCATTATATGACTGACAGACAAGAACGGTTTGACCTAAAAATATCAAAATTGAAACTACTGCGGAAACAAAGACACCTACATCTTGGATGCCCTTGAGGTAAGCTAAAATATACCAAAAATTTATTTCAAAGTGAACTATCCCTTTAAGACCTGTCAATATAAAGCCTTTCGCCTCTTTGTCCTTCTTCTGACTTTTCTTCTTTGTAGTATCCTGAGCCTCGTCCACAAGACACATCCAATGGTAATGCTTGCATTTGTGTGACCTACACCTACCTACACCACTGGTGCACATCGCCATATAGTGGTTGAACAGTCATTACATTTGGCTCCTGCACACTCTATATTTCCGAATAATGACATGTTCCACCATTTGCAGATAGCACACAAGTCATCTTTTAGCAAAAAACATTTGTTGTATACAGACATCTAATAATCATCTGTTCATAATATGCAAAATAAACAGTTTTACATACATTTTAAATCAAACATTTTAAAGACATTTCAAATCTAAATGTATATTTGTGACAGGAAGAGTCTCAGACATATCGGAGATGAGCAAATGCTCAAAAAATACATCTTTCAGATGAAAACATGCTCATCTTCAGGGGTTGGATGCCTTAATATTAACTGCAATGTTTTATTAATTCTTTGTCTCAATTCAAGTTTTTTTTCTGACTCATAATCCCACCAAAATACATTTTGCTCCCCAATGTTTTTCTATAAATATCTAGGTTTATACTACATCTCCACTCAGTCACTTATGAAATGCAGATGATGGGTCAGAGCAAACCTGACTTCCTGTGCTTGACGTGGTTGAACTTTCCCTCTCTTTGCTCTGTGCAAGAGTTTATCGCTGTCTCGAGGGACCCGGGTTTCATATCCAAGTGTTTATTTACAACTACAACATGATTATTCAGATTTATCTCTGTAAGTATCTTTGAGCATTTTGAACAGCTTTTCATGTGCTTTATTCCTGTAACTTTATTTAATGTATTTAGTCAAATGTTTGGACACACTGCACTATATTAATTTCTCTTGATACATGAAAACTTGGTTGCATAATAATGATAAGGAATTTAAATATGTGTGAATTTTTTTAAAAATTATTCTTTGATTTTTTTTTATCTTGTAGATCTGCTTATTTGGTGTCAAGCTGCAGAGACTTTAACAAATCAACTAACAGATTTTGGGGAAAATGTGACCATAAACTGTGATCTTGATGAAAAAGAGGTTTATTGGTTTTTACTAAAACGTCAAGATTCTTCGGTTCTAATAATGCGCTCTTTTTCAAACTCACCTCCGTTTTACTTCAATAAAAGATTCAGCCTTAAATATTCAGTGGACTCGAAACATCATATTTTCATAAATAATGTCACTATTGATGAGTTAGGAGTTTATTACTGTATGAGCACAGACCCAGATCCACAATTCAGCAATCCCACCAGACTACACATCATTCGTGAGTACACTTTTAGTCATATTGTTCAGTATAGTGATTATTTTGAGATTATTAACACATAGCTTAATTCATTCTTTACAGAACCAACTCCACTAACTGAGTGCCAGAATCATACAGTCGAACAGTGTATTCAGCAGAATCAGACGGTGGTGAAGTACATTCAGCAGAATCAGACGGTGGTGAAGTACATTCAGCAGAATCAGACGTCATGGCAGACTCTTACTCTCGTATCTGCTCTGTTCAATGCTGTTTTGGTCATTGTGGTTATAGGTGAGTTTTCATCAGTGTAGGTAAAATCACACAGATAATTGCAGCGGTACCGATAAGCTGATTATTTTTGTGTTATGGCTGATAACCCATATTAAACTTCTATATTTAAATTTCAATATTTTTTAATTGAAAATATAATGTAGGCATCACAACATTAAAGGGCCCTATAGGCTACATGCACGCATAAGTTACGCATTTGACGCAAGGCTGCTCTTCAGTTTCCGGTTGGGGAGATTTAAAGCGGAGGAAAACCGAGGAAAACGGGATTATGGCAGAGTCTTCAAAATTTACTGTCCTCTCGTCTTTGAAACGAAACTTTAATACGTTTAGATGTAATTTTATATATAGTTATGTTTATTTAATATTTATTTATTTATTTATTTCAAGCAAAATAGTGTGACAACAGAAAAGATACACAATAATAACAAATTATACACGTATGCTTGAAAATGGAGTGGGAAGAAGTAAAACTTATTAAACCCCACCCCAATCTATAAAAGAATTTATACAAACAAATAAAGGCTGCTTCCTTCAGCAATAATCTCAAAGAGAAAATAATATATTAAAAAAAAGAATAATAATAATAGTAATAATAATACCTCATTTAGAAACAGTGGTTGCACAGGTCAAAACCATACATTCATACCATACATATTAATAATATACAGATATTTCCACAGGTAACAATGATTATCAAATACCAACAATGGTAGACGAAATACCACAAGGGTACATAACAATGATTATCAAATACCAACAATGGTAGATGGAATACCACAAGAGTACATAATGACGAACAACTACCAACAATGGTAGACGGAATACCACAAGGGTAAATAAATAACAACTAATCCAAAAATCCACACAACATGAAACAATCAAACCTTATTGTCATTGTAATGGAACCAGACCTTTCGTTTGTAAAGACGTTTGAAATTGTGAATGCCTTGACACTGCTTTAATTCAAGCCCCAGATTATTCCACAAAGTAACCCCACAAACAGACATAGAGAAACTCCTCCTGGTGGAACCCGCCATTGGGACCACAAAGTTTCCAAATCCTCTCAAACTGTACGACTGCTCCTTATGAGAAAACATATTTTGAATGTTCACAGGTAATAAATAGTGATACGCTTTGAACATGAACTGTGCATTATATAATTTTACAAGATCCTTCATTTTTAATAGCTTTGATTTGAGAAAGAGAGGATTTGTGTGTTCGAAATAGGCGGCCTTGTGTATAATTCGTATAGCTCTTTTCTGTAGCAAAAAAAGTGACTGTATTACATTTTTGTAATTATTGCCCCATACCTCTACACAGTAGGTTAGATATGGCTGTATTAAAGCACAATACAGGGTATGGAGTCCATTATAATCAAGGATATGCTTAACTCTACTTATTATGGCAAGGCTTTTGGAGACTTTAGTTGTTATATGTCTGATGTGGGCGTTCCAACTTAGCTTGTTGTCTAACGTTACACCTAAAATTTTTATTTCCTGAACATTTTCAATGTGTACTCCATCTATCTCAACCATTTTCTGCGAATCAGCTTGATACTTTCCAAAAAACATCACTTTGGATTTATCTAGGTTTAATGATAATTTATTGCTTTCCATCCATTTTTTAAATTTACTTAGTTCTTTGTTTATAACGCTAATCAGTCGCTCCAAACTATCGTTACTATAGAAAATATTTGTATCATCAGCGTACAATACACATTTAACCAATTGAGAAACATTGAAAATATCATCAATATATAAATTAAATAATTCATAATATAATAAACAAAGAAGCATAAACAAAATGAGGGGTGTCTGTTTTGTCTGTTTTTGTGACTAACGTTTCTTTAGTATAGCAATAGAGTATAAAAACCAATATAAATTCTCGGTATAGCATTGGACTCTACGATCGGCGGAAGTAATCCACCATCCTTAGACCTTCACCGGGAATACCCCCGTGCATAGAGCCCATTTTAACGATCTAAGCGCATGGTCTAAAGCAAGTGCACTTAAGGCTTGTCCGAATCCACTTTTGCTATAGTTTAACGCAGGAAAAATGGTCTGCGCTCCCGGCGCATGGTCTAAAAGGGTTGTCCCTATTCTCTCAATGAGTAATAAGTGTGTTTTGGACGTAATGTTCAACAAACCAATCAGAGTCTCATGTCCCATTCCCTTTAAAAGCCAGTTGCGCTCGCGCCATGGCGAATTCGCTATTTACATGGCGGGATTTGTAAGCGGATCTTCAGTGAGGAAACGGAACGGATCTGCTCGTGCGCGAGCGCGAAAGCAGACCATCTACGGGCCAAGCCGAATTCCACCATATCTTAATGTACACAATAATAATCTTCTACATTGTAATCCTTTTATTTTGAATATTTGGCATGTTTTAGTGCTGTTGCGCGTCCCTGTGTGTGTAATAAGCAGAGTGTGTAATAAGCAGAGTGTACGCGCGTTGTGGACCCGACTATAGGCGCACATTACTAACGTGTTCTTTAAATAACAAAAAATACTGCACCATTGACTTTAGACCAGGTTTCAGTTGGTCAATGGCGCAGTCTACTTCAGTTGCCTCAAAATAGCAACGCTATTCATTTTGAGATTTGCTAAAGATCACTTTTAACAGTTAACATAAATGATTGGTGTTTTAAAGATTAACATTAAGTAAGAGCTGGATGATGGCATAAATAAATATAGAGGAAATAAGCAAGCACAATAAAAATATCAACAGATATGATACATTATATCGCTAATATGTGCCAGTACGGTGTAGGGGTTGCATCTGTGAAAAGATCAACACAATGCTGCAAGCGTTTCACGAGTTCCTTTGCCCATATAATCTTTAAGCTAATGAGGTTAAGCGTATTTGGCTTGCAGTCCGCAGTGGATCGGCTCGAGGAAGCAACTTCAACTTGAGCTTATATACAGTACCCCCCAGTGGGACTACTAATGATGAGTATGAAACTTAATTGTTTACATACATTATTTCATTTCATTTATTGTATTCCATTCTCAGGACTTTTGAAGGTTTGTGCTGTTAGAAGGTCTGCAGAACAACAACTGCATAATACTGACGTACAGCTGACACCAGATTTACAACAGCATCTAGATCCAAATCAATTACAGGTACATTATGCAACATCTATCTATTTATCTATCTATCATCCATCCATTCATCCATCGAATACTCTTTTCCTCTTTGTTCTTTCAGCATGCTGAGGTGGACAGTTCCATGCTGTGTACAAATATTCATCCCGTTCCAGTCAATAGCACCTATGTTACATTAAAACTGCCAAAATAATACACACAAGTATACAGCTGACCTCATACTTATTTCATAGCGGTAGATCAAGCACAGAACAAATAACTAAAGCTCTGGTGTTGTCCAAGTGCACATGATAATGGGTGTGGTTTGGTCTGCTTCAGAAAAAGTGTTGCATCTAGACAAGTGGTCTGCACATTGACCCAGTGAAGAGTTTTTCCTCTTTGTCTTCTGTGATGTTAACATTTGAGTAGGCTATCGGTGTTCTCAACAAGTGTGTGATATTTTATGATATGCTAAGTATTAGATATTTCACAGCAAACTGAAAGCCATAAATATTTCAGCTAATGCCATGTTCAACCATGTTTTTATTGAATTAAAGTGCCATGCAATACCCCAATTTCTGTGTAATTTCTGTAGTTATCTTCACACTTCTGCAAAATGCTTTAAAAAAAAGAGGTGTGAAATTTTTGAAGAAAGGAACATGTGGAGGTGGGGACAGCCACAGAATGTCTAGATCTAAGGTGAGATGAGTAAGCTGGAACTGTGGCAGACATGAGGCACACAGACAAATACAACAACACCAAAAACAACACTAAGAATATTTGCCTGCGCAAAAATCTGCTACTGTTCCATCTAATATTAATAGTTGTTTTGAACATCCTGTGAGTTTTAAAACAACCACAGTGCTGCGATAGCTTTAATTCAGCAATAGTATTTCAATTTAAAGGCCCACTGAAGTGCCTTGAAATGCACAGCATTTATTCAGTGTTGATGTCATTTCCACTGAAACAGTAAGACAGGGCAGGAAATATCGATCCGCTCCTCCCCCTTTTTTAAAATGGCCAATAGCGTTTAGTTTATTTCACAGCTCAGCCAGAGCTTTTGAGCTCAGTAAAGACGCAGTTTCTTTTTAATCTCTAACCGTTTCTCCTCCTAATCTCCTCCATACCGCTCTAATATAGCATTCTGTGCAGAATTCAAATGAGTCCGATAAGTTTTCTGTTCTGCGGCGACTTGCGCATAAGATCCGGTCTGTGCTGTCGTGTCTCTAGAACGGAGCAGACTGTGAGCACTGTGGCGGTTCGGTTCATGTGACATTAACATGAAACCAGACTTCATTCGCCCCAATGGAAAGCATATTTACACTGTCTGAATATTTCCCTATCCCCTTAATACAGTAGTGCACTATGTGCCATTCACCATGTAGAAAATAGTGAATGTGTGAACAAGTGACTGATTTCAGCCACAACTTCAGCATCTATTTATAATGTAGGGGGCGGGGCTTCAGATTCTAGAGAGCATTTGATTGGACAGAAAATCTGATGAGAAGCTGAAGTGTAGAGTGATGTCATCAAAATCACCTCCATATTCACGGAAGTGAGAGATGCAGTTTTGAATGCTTATATCTTCTCAATGTGAATTTCGTCATTGTTTTGGAGCACACTAGCTTATAGATAAACAGTAAGGCTAACATATTCATACTAAAAGATCAATCAAAATGGACAATTCTTGTGTTTTGGAATATTGTAGTTTTTATTATAAATTGTTTATCCATTCACATCATAATTTTTTTCTAAATACATGTGACCTCATAATCTTTAAAGCTACAATATGTAAGTTTTTTGTAATAAAATATCCAAAAATCACTTGCACAGTGTAATATATATCATGCAGTTTTGTACTTATAATATCCCAAAAGTTCCCAAAGATTTTTAATTTGAGAGAAATTTCCATTTTAAATAATGGCTTGTCCATGTTCACTTATCGCCTGTCAATGACGTATAATCTGTGTTATCCTTGGTTTTCATTCGTAACCATGGCGACAGACGTGGACAGCTGTTGTTGTTTCGTTCAAACATTATGGACCATGGCAAGCAGACTTTGGGAGATAAGGAGAATTTTTTTTTTTTTTTTTTTTTTTTGTTGACATTTTAGTATAACAATAACAAAAGGACATTCGTAGATGAATCTTACAAACAAACCTGAGCTTACATACAAATATTACAACACAATATACATATCATTCTCATCAGTAGGCTAAGTAAATTAAAGACAAGGTAAAATAACAAAAATAATAATACAAATAAACAAACAAAAAAAGTAAATAAAGTAGGGGAATAGGAAGTTTTTCAAATTATAAAACCAAAATCTTCCAATAAGGAGTACAAATACACTGCTTTAGGGCTTTTCATCCTTTTCACTGTCTCCAAATATATATTAAATTCCTCCTTAAAAACCAATAACTGTGGAGGAATTTTGAAAAATTTACATTTATGTATATAAAATTTCAACAGCAGCAACACATTATTAGTTACAAAAGATACCTTTTTATCCTCAATTACTAGTCCAAAGTTAACAAATTCCCACGACATTATCAGCCTTACAGGTATTCTTTGTTGTAACCAGCTCAATGCATAATTCCAGAATTTGTTTACCAAAATGCACTGAAAAAACAAGTGTTCAACCGTTTCTATCTCTACCTTGCATATTTGCCATAAATTTGAGTCTCCAACATTAAATCTTACTCTTAAAAATTCTTTTGTTGGATATATATGATTCAGAATTTTAAAGTGCACCTCTTTACATTTAGGATTAACCGGAAAAGAAAGAAAATTAGTCCTAATTTTACACACTTCTTTCTTCTTATAATGACGAAAAATATAATTTCTCAATACCGGTCCTGGGAAACATTGATGTATTAAACAGACTCTTAAGAATTTGTTAGAACAATTTCTGTCAACAAAGCTTACATTTCCAATAATAAGTTCTTGTAGTTTAGGTATTAACATTGAATATTTCAAATGTTCACTTACTAATTTAAGCATTTGTAATGGAATATTGTTAATAATTTTTTCATATATTTTAGAGGAGTAGCTTAAATTGTATTTACCACAAAAAGCAACATGACTCAGTACATTTCCAGCATTGTCCATTACATGTGTTAGTGACCATATGCCTTTCTGCCAACACTCATCAATAAACAAAGATTTTCTGTTCACAGTTATACATCTGTTGTTCCAGATTGACATATTATGAGGGCTAAAATTATGCTTGAAAATCAATTTCCAGTATAATAATACTTGTTGATGGAAAGCAGAAAGTTTTACAGGGAGTTTGGAAAGTTCGAAGTCACATTGCAGCAGAAAACTTCTGCCTCCACATTTATTGAATACGATAGAAGGAATCTCAAACCAGAAAGAGGACTTATCATTAATGAAAGACTGCAACCATCTAAGTTTAATGACCCCATTCATAATATCAAAGTCAATCGTTTTAAGACCACCTTCTTCATAATCTTTAATCATATCGCTTTTACGTATATAATGGCACTTCATTTTCCATATAAAATCAAAGTTTAATTTGTTAACTGCCTTTATCTTTTTTGCAGAAACCGCTAAAGAGAAACAAGGATAGATGAATCTAGAAAGATTCTCTACTTTTGTCTACAAAATTCTTCCAAAAATCGTTATGTCTCTCTTCAGCCAAGTATTCATTATTGATTTACAATTTTCCAAAGATTTATCAAAATTTAAATGTTCTAAATTGTCCAACCTCTTAGATAACCAGATACCTAAATATTTGACTTCATTTTTAACTGGGATATTGTATAATGTTAAATTTGGATGATCATGAATGGCCAATAACTCACATTTTGACATATTTAGCATTAGACCTGAAGCTTCTGAAAAAAACTTGATTGACTGAAGTGCTAGAGGTATTTGCTGTTCATTTCTTAAAAAAAGAGTAGTGTCGTCAGCAAATTGACTGACAATAAAATTATTACCTTCAAGACAAGAGCAATGCCAGATATAGTTCCCATTTTGAGTAAGATAGACAACATTTCTGCTACCATTATAAATAATAAAGGTGAGCACCCACATCCTTGCCTGACGCCTCTTCTAATCTCGAATCTTGGACATGTGCCTTGGGTAAGAGCTACAGAACTGTTTATGTCTTTATAAAGCATTCCAACTATACTAATAAATTTAGGACCAAAGCCAAAGTGTTTAAGAGTTTGAAAAATAAAAGAATGCTCCACCATTTCAAAGGCCTTATAGAAATCTAAAAATAAAATGAAAACATCTTCTTCAATTAGATGACCATATTCAATCAAATCAAAAACTAACCTGATATTATTATGAATTGACCTATCCTTTAAGAATCCTGATTGGGTAACACTAATAATTTGTGATATTCCTGTTTTTAATCTAGAAGCCAGTGCTTTAGTAAAGAGTTTGTAATCTGTATTTAGTAGTGTTATGGGGCGTATATATCTAATATCCTCTTATCTTTTCCTGGCTTTGGTATCAAAATTATAAGCCCTTGTTTCATAGTTGGCAATTATTCAATATTATTTATACAGTCTTGTAAGGCTTCAAAAAATATAAATTTTAGGTCATCCCAATTTTTTTTATAAAAATCTGTGGTTAACCCATCAGGACCCGGTGATTTACCCGGTTTACTCTGTTTAATAGCCGCATCAAGCTCTTGTATGGTTATGTCTGATTCACAAAGATCTTTAAATACAATATCAATAGACGGTATATTATTTTTTATCATCTGAAAAAAATAATTAGAATTAACAGAGGAAAAAGAAGAGGAATACAATTTAGAGTAAAATTTAAACACCTCTTTTACTATTAAGTTATGATTTAATTGTTCTACTTGGTCCACAATTAAACTATTAATCGAATTTTTCACTTGTCGTCTTTTCTCCAAATTAATGAAGTAAGAGCTATTTTTTCCCCCCTCTTCCAGCCACTTATGGCGCTTTTCCATTACCAGTACCAGCTCGACTCGACTCGACTCGCCTTGGCTCGCCTCGACTCGGCTCGCTTTTCGCTCCGTTTTCCATTGCAGAAAGTACCGCCACAAATAGTACCCGGTCGTCATAGCGACGCATTTCGTTCCTCGTTGCCCCATCAAGCTCTCGCTGGATCCTCTCTTTGGCAACCAAACAAAAGAATGTCTGCACCTCCTCGTTTGACCACGGCGTATTCTTCCGAGTTGCCATAATAATAGTAGTAAGTTTAGTAACTATCTCTGGCCAAACTATTTAAAAATGGCGGGGTTATTCTGGATACTCCATCTGGCGCGTGCAATGATGACGCAGATTCTCTGTGACCAATCAGCAGTCGGCATTGTTTTCACGTCACATTTTAGTATCGGCTTAGCTCGCCTCAGCTCGCTTAGAACCTCGCCGGAGGTGGTACGAAAAAAAGTACCCGAAAGCAGGTACAGGTACAACTTTTAGACAGTGGAAAACCAAACAAAGGCGAGTCGAGTCGAGCTGAGCCGAGCCGAGGCGAGCTGGTACTGTGTAGTGGAAAAGCGCCATTAGCTCTGGATCTCACATATGCCCCTTTTGCCTTTTTAATGTAGAATTCGTCTAG